ATCATATTTTTATGGCTGCTAAACATATTTTTAGAGTGTTTTATAGATAGAGTTTATAGATTGAGATAGAATTAGAAACTACAGCATTTTCTGGGGGTTTTTGGTTTTTGTTTGTTTGTTTGTTTTGAGATAGGGTCTTGTTCTGTCACCTGAGCTAGAGTGCAGTGGCATCATCATAGCTCACTGCAACTTCAAATTCCTGGACTCAACCCATCCTCCAGCCTCAGCCTTCTGAGTAGCTGGGACTACAGGCACATGCCACCATGCCCAACTAAATTTTCTATTTTTTTGTGAAGATGGAGTCTTGCTGTGTTGTTCAGGCTGGTCTCAAATTCCTGGCCTCCAGTGATTGTCCCACTTCATCCTCTCAAAGTGCTAGGATTACAGGTGTGAGCCACCACACCCAGCCAGTTTTATGATTATCATTTTATGCAGCTTTAAGCCATAATGCCTATGGCTGTGTAAGCTTCTATAATGGCATGGCTAAAGAATTGACTCGTGCAACAATACTGTTATTGTATTTAAGCAGATCTGCTTAAAATGTCCTCTTCTAGCTTAGTATGTCCTCAAAAGATACTTAAGAGGCCTCACCCTTAATAACTACTATAATTCTCTATGAATTATGTTTTTTAAATGTGAGTTGCAGAATGTCCTCACTATATGCACACAGGCAGGAGAAGTTCAGCATTCAAGAACTGTCTTACTAGAAACTCAGAGTGTTTTTGCTGTCTAGAAAATTTCTTTCCTTGAAAATTTCTAAATTATACTTATTCATTTTTTTCAGTAATTGTAGCTCTGTTTAGCATGGCATAACATGCTTTCTTTGTGAACCTTGTTCATCCCCTCTCTGCTCCAGAAACTGTAGCTTAGATGAGAGAATGAGCCTTTGAGGGACAGCATTTTAAATAATAGAACATAGGGAGCTTGACAGATTTTTTTCTTGGTGAAGTTTTAGAACTCTTTCCTTCATTGGATATCCCCTGAAGCTCATTCAAAGTTGTTTTAAGGAGTCTCACTGACTTTAGCACAAAGACTTTAATCCTCATGAGTTTTCTTTTTGGAAATATAGCTACATATATATTTCATATATTAAAAATCAAAATTCTTCATCTTACATATTCCTGAGTTGCTTACTTAGAATGTTAATTTCAGAAAGATATATATATCCAGAATGACTATTTTTCCAAGAACAGAACCTATAGTAACTTAAATCTAAGAAATTTGTCTTGCCTTTAAATTTTCCATTCTTAGACAAGATGCTGTTTTCTTTAGACCCATCGGCCCCTTCTGCACTGAATTTTTTTTTTTTTTTTTGACACAGAGTCTGGCTCTGTTGCCCAGGCTAGAGTGCCGTGGCGTCAGCCTAGCTCACAGCAACCTCAAACTCCTGGGCTCAAGCGATCCTTCTGCCTCAGCCTCCTGAGTAGCTGGGACTACAGGCATGCGCCACCGTGCCCGGCTAATTTTTTCTATATATTTTTAGTTGTCCAGATAATTTCTTTTTATTTTTTAGTAGAGACGGGGGTCTCGCTCTTGCTTAGGCTGGTCTCGAACTCCTGACCTCGAGCGATCCTCCCGCCTCAGCCTCCCAGAGTGCTAGGATTACAGGCATGAGCCACCACGCCCGGCCTGCACTGGATTTTTAATTGACATGCTTTGTTGTAGTAACTAGTTCTCTATTTCCTCATAGCCATAGTGAAAGTCACCAGCAGTCCTTCACGCAGACTTTAAAGGCTATCTTTTGGTTTGCAGCTGGACCCACTTCAGTGTGCCGCTTGTCACTTGTTTTCATTCATTCCGCAAGCATTGATCAAAAGATTGCCATCTAAGGTGTTAGATCTGAGCTTGGCTCTGGAGAGACAAAGATGAATAAGACACAGCTACTCCACTCATGGGCTCTTGGGGATTTCCCTTTGTGGCCTGGTGGGGGCCAGGGCAAACACACAGACACAGCATGGCAAGAGAGGCATGTTTGAAGTGCCATCTCTGGGAGCATAGAGGAGTAACACATCCCATGTCAGGGGGAAGCAGGAATATGGAGGAAGTGGACTTGAGAGGGACGGCTGAGCTGGGCATTACAGGATACGTCAGACACATAGTGTATCGCAGGTTGTTGACGTGACCGCAGGGGTGAAGTGATGGGTTGGAGGCTGGCAGGCACTTAGGTTGGGTCCGGCTGAGCAGGAGCTTGGGTGTTGTGGGGACACCACAACTACAGGATTTGTCACTGGTGTGTCAGGAGCAGGGGCGGAGGGTGTTTAGTTACTGTTGAGGGAGGAGAGGGCGGGTTCCAGAACACAGGTGGAGAAGGGCTGCTGGGGTGGGGCGGAGGGAGTAGTTGGCCAGCAGTGCCTGAGCCCTGAGAGCTCCGGGAGGGAGGTGGAGTGCCCGTGAGGGGGGTTTTACTTGAAGTAATGGTGAGACTGAGCCCTGTGTTCACAGTCAACCTGCAGAAACCCCTCACTCAGTAAGTCACTTCACCAGCAGTTCCCTCCACTCACAGCACAGCTTTGACTCTGGTATTAATCAGAAGAGGTTTCTGCACATCCCCCAGTGCTGAGACTTAGTGTAGCAGTGCCGATGGAGTCTTTGGCCCTCGCTCTCCTTATTTTCTTTAAAACAGCAAGTGGCAAAGGGAGGGAAGTTGGAGGCGAACTATAGCTGACAGATACCCCATCTACAAAGAAGGAGCCAGAAGTGATTTTTTTTTTTTTAAGAAAATCAAAATACAGTCTGAAGCCCTCTGTTGCTCAGAAGCCTTGTTCATCTCTGAAACCCTAGTGCTTCACGGTGAGACAGCACGAGGCAGTAATTAGGGTTCATGGCTATGGCCTAAATGAGCAGCGGGCAGCCAGACTGGATCCCATCCTCTGTCCAGGAGGCAGGGAAGTATGAGAGAGCTTCACTTCTGTCAAATAGTTTAAAAGGTGGCATTGCTTGTATCAAGGGGGGAAAATGGTTTTTAAAATAAAAAACATGTAGGTCTTAGAAAGCTGGTTGTTGAGAAGGAATTGGTTTTTTCATGCTAGATAAAGGAGACATTGATGTGCTTTTTGCCAGGTTCGGTGTATAAAAGTACGGAGTATGTTATATGAATGATGAGTCAGATGATAGATAAGCTTTGGTCGTGTTATTTAGAAAAGGCATTTTCTTCTGTTGTGATTCTCAAGGGAGAGCCAGAGGACGTGCAGGAGACACCTGCTCCAGAATCTCGCCCCGGCAGAGTTCTGGCTGCAAATTTGAGTCTGACTGTATCAGATGATGACAGAAGTGATGGGGGCAGTCCGCCATCGGCTCCCCCTGCTGAATCTGAGCCACCCTGTGATGCCAGCTTTAAAGGAGATGCAGGTGAAAACACAGCACTACTAGGTGAGAAGCCTGCAGATTATGAAACCGTGGAATGTCGTAAGTAGCTAAAGGGAATTAAGAAATATGTAAAATGCAGAAAAGCATAAAGGAAAAAATGGAAACCATAATCTCACACATAAAGATACCATTTTACTGTATTGATAAATATCTTTCCAGTTGCTTTTCTAGAAATTTAAACATGTTTAAGGATGGGGGAGCATCCCTTACATGCTGTTAGTTAACCTTTTTTTACTTAATGTATAAAGCTCTTTCTGTGTCAATAAATAGATAATTTTTTTATAGCCACCTAGTATTACATTTTGGATTTTCTGTAATTTTCTCAAATTACTAAGGGACATTTATTATCAGTAGCACTTTGAAGTCATTATGTGTATATATTATACTTACCACTTGTCTAATTCTCTGTCATTCCGACAGGTAAAATACGGTGAATTGCATTTGTTTACTGATGAGGTTACCCTCTTTTCGTATTTGTTGATCATTTTTCTTCTCTTATGAATTGCTCATTTCATTCCTAGATTTTCTATGGAGACACTAATTTTTTTATATTCTTAGAGTTCTTTATATTGAAAATATTAGGTCCTTGTCATATACTTTATATGTTTTCCCTCCAATTTGTGTCTCTTTGACTTTTTGTTGTATTTTACTAGATAGAAATTAACTTTTATGTCATTTAGTTTCCCATTCTTTCATGATTCTGCCTTTGATAGCATTAAAGGCATGTTAACTTAGGAGGGTCTTTCTCATCTCAGGATTATAAAGATACTGACCTATATTTTGCTAGTACTCGTGGTTTTGTATTTTACATTTATATCTTAATCCACATCATTTAAGGTGTGAGGGGAAATTTAACCTATTTTTTTTCCAAACATTTAACGAGTTGTCCTCATATTGTTTGGTGAATAATAATTATTTGGAAATAATATGTTTTGGTATTTGCAAGACAAATTCCTTGATCTTTATTCTTTAAAAATTTCTACATTTTTAAAAGATTAATTCTAAAATCATTTTGCCAAGTAAAAGAAAATGTCATCAGAATTTTTATTGGAATTGAATTTACTGGGGAGAATTGAGGTTTCTAATTTTGAATTTTGCCATCCTGGAAAAGGAAGCTTATTTTTCCAAAGCAATTAAGATTCAAACTAAATCAGTTTGTTTCTAACATGTTTAAGATCTGTGAGGCAAAGATAGGTAGAAATATTAGAACTTAAGTTTCAAACCAGTACCAGAGGAAGAAAGAATGCATTGTGAAACAAAAAAGGAGAATGGATTTCAGAGAATTATAAAATTGTAAAGGTCAAGCTATTGTAGGCATTCTCTTAACCAGCTCTCCAGCCAAGACTGGACCACTTTACAAGGCAAAGGTAGCATGTTGAGTTTATAAATGGCTCTTTTTTTTAGGAATCTCATATTGAGCCAAAGTGCATACCAGTGAGATTTTTGCCATTGCCTTCAGACTGTAGAAAGAAAACTAAATTTGTTTTCTCTAGTACATGACCACCCTTGAGATATTTAAAGACAAATACCCTTATCCTGACTAAAGGTCCTTCAAAAGCAGTCTCCAGATTTTTCTACATTGTTGTTACTGGTAAAGTATTACAGTTTACCATTGCTCAGCTCGATGCCCTCTTAGAACTAGGATAATATAATTTGAAATAGTGGGTAGAAATAAAGAATGTGGAAAGAGAAGCTAAAACCATTCAATCCAACAGTCGCACTACTGGGTATCTACACAAAGGAAAAGAAATCATTTTATCAAAAAGATACCTATACTCATATGTTTATCACAGCACTATTCACAATAGCAAAGACATGGAAATCAACCTGAGTGTCCACCAACAGAGGATTGGATATGGATGATGTGGTGTATACATACACACATACATGCACATACACAATGAAATACTGTTCAGCCATAAAACAATGAAATCCTGTCTTTTGCAGCCACATGGATGGAACTGGAGGCCATTATCTTAAGGGAAACAAGTCACACAGAAAGACACATACCACATGTTCTCACTTTTAAGTGGGAGGTAAATAACGTTTACACGTGGAGTGTGCAATGATAGTCATTGGAGACCCAGAAGTGGGGAGGCTGAGAGGGGATTGAGGGATGAGATACTGCTTAATGGGTACAATGTACGCTATTTGGGTGATGGTTACACTGAAAGCCCAGAATTCACCACCATGCAATATATCCATGTAACAAAACTACACTTTTACCCTTAGATTTATTTTTTAAAAAGGAAAAAAAGGGTTTACAAAGCAGCAGAATGTCAGACATGGTCTGAAGCAGCTGGGTTTGCCCTCCTTCCCACTCAACCGCATTTTTTGGTTTCACAATCTGTTTTCTCTCATTGTACTTTTTTTTATTCCCAAGTATTGTTCACCAGCAAATTGACAGGTAATTTATGTGTTAATGTTCCTTCTACCTTGTAACAGTAACAATATAAATCGAAAAACATTAAATTAGAAAAATCAGGCCGGGCGCGGTGGCTCATGCCTGTAATCCTAGCACTTTGGGAGGCCAAGGCGGGAGGATTGCTTGAGCTCAGGAGTTCAAGACCAGCCTGAGCAAGAGCGAGACCCCGTCTCTACTATAAATAGAAAGAAATTAGCCAAACAACTAAAAAGAGAAAAAATTAACCGGACATGGTGGCGTGTGCGTGTAGTCCCAGCTACCTGGGAGGCTGAGGCAGGAGGATCCCTTGAGCCCAGGAGTTTGAGGTTGCAGTGAGCTAGGCTGATGCCATGGCACTCTAGCCAGGGCAACAGAGTGAGCCTCTGTCTCAAAAAAAAAAAAAAAAACCGAAAGAAAAATCAGTTATTTTATGCAGACATTAGTACTTCCAGGGTCTCACTCTTGCTCAGGCTGGTCTCAACGCCTGAGCTCAACCAATCCTCCCACCTCGGCCTCCCAGAGTACTAGGATTACAGGTGTGAGCCACTGCGCCCAGCCTACAATTTTGTCAATTTAAAAATTAAATGTTTAAAACTTCGGGGAAAGTTTAATAAGGTTACTTAAATGTTATTTTGCCATTAATTAAAAAGTTTAAATTGGCAAAGAAAGGTATTTGGTTCTGCTGCTATATTTAAGGAAGTATTCTTTTTTTTTTTTTTTTTTGAGACAGAGTCTCACTGTGTTACCTGGGCTAGAGTGAGTGGCGTGGCGTCAGCCTAGCTCACAGCAACCTCACACTCCTGGGCTCAAGCGATCCTTCTGCCTCAGCCTCCCGAGTAGCTGGGACTACAGGCATGCGCCACCATACCCAGCTAATTTTTTCTGTATATTTTTAGTTGTCCGATTAATTTCTTCCTATTTTTAGTAGAGACGGGGTCTCGCTCTTGCTCAGGCTCGTTTCGAACTCCTGAGCTCAAACAATCCACCTACCTCGGCCTCACAGAGAGCTAGGATTACAGGCGTGAGCCACCGTGCCCGGCCTATTTAAGGAAGTATTCTATTGGTATAAGAAGGCTTTTGTGCTGAAGTAGAACTTTGCACTCCTACTTTGTACTCCTAGTAATACTGTCTTTAAATGCCACCACCTCCTCTTCCTTGCCATCTGTAAGTGGGGATATAGCATACTCTTTACTACCTTGTAGGATCAGTAGTATATAGTGCCCAGTAAATGCTGGCTGTTGTTTTCATTGGCAGCAACATCATCACCATAGCTACTTGTTTGACTTTTGGAAATATCTCTAGGCCACCATCTCCGGCTGAGTCTGTTTATAGCACCATGCTGACCAGATTAATATTGGTTAGGCTAATACTAGGAAATCTCTCATACTGTACATGGGGAAAATGTTCACCTATTCTTCTTGTTGACTGTCTCTGGAATGGGCTATCATTTTTGCATGTATGTTTTATTTAAATTTTTCTGTATATCATCTTGAATTGAGTAACTGTGTTTGTGTTACCGAAGTTCAGAATATGTTGAGTGACCGCCTGACATAGGGTGGCTTTTGTTGCTTTGTTGTAGAAGCCGGCAGGAGCGCCCCTCAGCATGGAAGACCTGTCTTCGAACGCACTTGCTCACTGAAGTGTCCCTGACAGAACTTTGGCTTGAACTAAAGGACTTTATTTTTTTACTTTTTCTTTTCTTTTTTTTTTTTACTTTAGCACAGTTTGTATATTTGAAAATAATGTACATTATTTTACCTTTCAGATTCTGGTTTGATATACAGAGGGCTAAGATATTTTATTCTTTTAGAGACTTTTTGATTTGTCTTCATATATTTATCTACTAAAATATAGTATTTACAATAAACAATGTTGTTTCAGACCGTTCTAAAGACAGCTAGGGAAGGCACTCTAATGTAAAGGACGGGTGGTGGTTCTAAATACTAGACTAGCTACTGCGGTACTGTGAAAACAAGATTAATTCTACTTCTCAAGGTTTTTAGACTAAGCACACCAGTTTTAAAGTAGTTGAAGTGGAGTTGTGTAATTTGGTTCAATAATTGATCACATGGGCTTTCCCTGGAGGAAGGACATTTTTAGAACTTAAAACTTATAACTAAAATAAGAAATCTGCAGCTTTCTTGCACATTTCTAACGTATATAGAGATTTCAAAACCTGAGAACCCTTTTTCTTTGTTGTTTGGGATTGTGAGAAAAGCACTAGATGACTTCAGGATTTACATTTTTCCCTTTATTACCTAATTTCTGTGACACCTTAATGGGGAGGGAAATTTGTCCATTTTTTCCTACAAATAAAAAAATTAAGATTCTGTGTTGCACATGAGCATTAAGTTCTTCATTGCCTTGTTAAAGGAAACTGATTAGGCATCCTGTGATTTTTTTTTTAATCATGAATATATTTTATTGGTTCCAATTGCAATTTGATCTTTATGATTTAAAGAGTAATAAATGGAGAATTTTGATTTTTGTTGTTAGCACAGAATAATCAGTTTTCTTGATTAGTTTTTAAGCAAAAAAAAAATTTTTTTTTTTTTTTTTTTTTTTGAGATAGTCTCACTCTCTTGACCAGGCTGGAATGCAATGGCACAGTCACAACTCACGGAAACTTCCAATCCCCCAGCTCTGATGATCTTTCCGGATCAGCCACCCTAACGGCTAGGACTACAGGCATGTGCCACCACGCCCAGCTTTTTTTGTTTATGTGTTTGTTTGTCTTTGTAAAGCTAGGGTCTCATTATGTTGCCCAGGCTGGTCTTGAACTCTTGGCCTCAAGCGATCCTTCCACTCCAGCCTCCCAAAGTGCTGGGATTATAGTCATGACCCACTGCTCCCAGCCAGTTTTTAAGCAAATTTAATACCATGAGCTTGCTTAACCATTTCTCTAAGTGATTAAACACATACACCCTGCTCTTTGCTCACTTCTTGGAGGTAGATATCAAGGAGTTTGAGGCAGTTGCTTTTTAGAGTGCGGAATTGTAGTCTTTTGTTGCTTCAAAACTAGTTTCTCTGTGTATCCTTATTTTTTTTTTTTTTTTCGCCCTCTCAACCCAGCTTTTCCCTACTCCAGGAAGAACCAGGAAGAGAAGGCCTCTGTGTATATTTTATAAGTAAAAATAAATGTTTATTAAGGTAAATGTTTTTTAAATTATAAAAGATTTATCTTTATAGCCATATCTGGGATATAGGACTTATATCAACCTTTTTACCATGTACGCTTTGATTCTAGCTACTCATAATGAAATACTTGGTGAGTAAACAGTTTTACTGAAATAAAGTCTACAGTCAGATTTAGTATAAGGAGCTATCGAAACAGAAAATTTGCCTTGCTCTGAGCATTAACTTTAACAAATAGCCTCAAAGGTTTCAGTAACAGCCATTGTTTTTGAAATCTACATTCTGTAATTCAGTGTGAATAGGAAAATACATCCTTGATTCTGTACCAAGTAGATTGTTTGCTCTTTGTCTTTTAAGAAACATACTAGGGGAAAATGTTTTAAGTAATAATTTTTCCTAGTATTTAATGAAGCTGACTTGTAAGCTTCATTTTAAGAATACTGTGACAGGGCCAAGTGCGGTGGCTCATACCCGTGAGCCTAGCACTCTGGGAGGCCAAGGCGGGAGGATCTTTTGAGCTCTGGAGTTGGAGACCAGCCTGAGTAAGAGCGTGACCCCATCTCTACAAAAAATAAAAAAAAATTAAAGAAAAAAAGAATACTGTAACAGACTAAGGTAAATTATTTTTGATAGTTACAGAAGTATGATTTCTTAGCAGCTGTCAGATATGGCTTGATTCAAAAGTTTGAACACTAAATTACTTAAAATAAATAGAAGAGCTTAGAATAATTGTAGTCTTATCTCTGCAGTCTTATCTACTCAACAAAGTAGTCTTTAGTAGCCAAAAAAACGAGTGAGAGAAAATGTTAGTACTTCAAAAGGAAAAAGTGTGATAGTTTATCTAGGTGGAAGTAACATGATAAAGAAGGGTCAAATAGTACCAGAATTTTTGCTGAAACTCTCAGGTAGATAAGATGCTGGGAATTTGGGGAATGTAAATGAAAAGCATAATAAATCAGAGAGATTTAGTTATTTATAACAGTAATCACTTTCCTCCTAACAGTTGTCCTAAAAGCCATGTGTTCACTTACAATGTAGAACTGTATTTCACTTTGAAAACTCAGGTTGCGTGTGAAAGTGGCAGCGTGCTGGTGACCGCGTTGCTGTGTGCCTCCCTCCCTGCCTGCTGTCCAGCTTCACTCTCCAGTGTCCGAATCAGCGCTCTGGGTTTCCCAGCAGAAAACCACAAAGGGAAGAGAGGTGTAAGAACATGCATTATTTCGCAGGTAATAATTTCCCATATCTGTCTTTTAAGGGATGTTGAACACACAGCCTTTCCCAAAAGATTGCTCCCCATGGCTACTGAGGAGTGATGACAATAAAAGGCCGAATTGCAGTGTGTCCATCAGCAGTTTGCTCTCTGTGTGGGCACACGATGACAAAATCACCTGAAGCGAACTGATGGTCTGACCTCAGTAACATCAAGATTGAAGTTTCATGCCATGGGAGTAGCCATGAAAGGAATCCCAAGAGCTGAGCTATTTTTAAGAAAAAATAATCAGCAACCCCCTCAGACAACACTGGGGCTTGAACAAGCAGTAAATATACTGTGTACACAAAGATACACTTACTTGAATCAAGGACTACTAGAACCATAAACACAGTAATAATAGACCTTCAAGAATAGGTGTGTGTCCCCATACCACACACTGGGAACGAGATAACCAGCGTAACCAAATTCCCCAGTAAAATAGTTTGGCAACAGTCTATTTTGATAAAGTTGATTTGCTCAGTGAAGGCTAAAATTAAGTCAGTATGTTTGTATTACCAACTAGAACTTGAGGTAATTATGTTTTAGTCAAAAGAGTTTCTCAGAGAGTAAAATGGTGGTTGCCAGGGGCTGGGGTAAGGGGCAACAAGTACAAAGTTTCACCTATGCAAGACGAATGAGCTCAAGAGATCTTCTGTACAACATTGTGTCTGTAGTTGACAGTACTGTATTGTGCACTTAAAATTTTAAGAGATCTCAGGCTGGGCGCGGTGGCTCACACCTGTAATCCTAGCACTCTGAGAGGCCGAAGCGGGAGGATCGCTTGAGCTCAGAAGTTCGAGACCAGCCTGAGCAAGAGCAAGACCCCGTCTCTACTAAAAATAGAAAGAAATTAGCTGGACAGCCTAAAGTATATAGAAAAAATTAGCCGGGCATGGTGGTGCGTGCCTGTACTCCCAGCTACTTGGGATGCTGAGGCAGGAGGATCGCTTGAGCCTAGGAGTTTGAGGTTGCTGTGAGCTGGGCTGACACCATGGCACTTGAGCCTGGGCAACAGAGCGAGACTCTGTCTCAAAAATAAATAAATAAATAAATTTAAAAAAAATTTTTTTAAGAGATCTCATATTGAATGTTCCTACCACAATAAAAAAAAAGGAATATTTTAAAAAGCAGTTTCTACAGGCTCACTACTTTGTGATTTACTAATGCACAGGGCGTTGGCTCAAACCAAGGCTAGTTTTGTGGCATAACGTACCTTGTGCTTCTGTGATACAACCACCAATTAGAAAAGCCACCTTTGACTTTCCCAGTTAATATTAGTTTTTAAAGTTTAAAAACGTTTATCAGGCCAAATGTGGTGGCTCAAAGCCTGTAATCTTAGCACTTTGGGAGGCCGAGGCAGGAGGATTGCTCGAACCCAGGACTTCAAGACCATCCTGGGCAAGAGTGAGACCCCATCTCTACAGAAATACAAAGATTAGCCAGGCATGGGGGTACGTACCTGTAGTCCCAGCTACTTGGGAGGCTGAGGCAGGAGGATCGCTTGAGCCCAGGAGTCTGAGGTTGCAGTGAGCTATGATGCCACTGCACTCTAACCTGAGCAACAAATCAAGACTAATCTTCAAAAAAAAAAAAAAAAAATCGTCAGCATTTTGTTTTCAAAAATACTAGTACTTGCATTACTAGTCATAAAATTGAAATTTCTACAAAATATTGGGGAAAAAGTCAATCCATTCCTTTCATTGAGTTGTAGCCTTGTATTATGGGCTAAAGAGAAACCTGGGAACACCAATACTGTCTGTAGGCTGACTGTAGAGTTATTGAATCCTAGGATCATACAGGTGCTTTCTGAAGCATCTTGAGGGATTTTCCCAGTAAGAACAGTAGTAATTACATAAAAAGAACATACAGACTGGATGTAAAATGAAATCAGCAAATGTCTTAAATGACTATGTAAAAAGTTCTTCCAATGCGTTAATGTTCCAGATACCCTTAAAATGTTATCTTAAAGGAATATCATACTCAAGATACTATTTTTTTTCGAGACAGAGTCTCGCCCTGGCTAGAGTGCCCTGGCATCAGCCTAGCTCACAGCAACCTCAAACTTCTGGGCTCAAGCAATCCTTCTGCCTCAGCCTCCCGAGTAGCTGGGACTACAGGCATGCGCCACCATGCCCAGCTAATTTTTTTTTTCTGTATATTTTGTCTGATTAATTTCTTTCTAATTTTAGTAGAGACAGGGTCTCGCTCTTGCTCAGGCTGGTCTCGAACTCCTGAGCTCAAACAATCCGCCCGCCTCGGCCTCACAGAGTGCTAGGATTACAGGCATGAGCCACCATACCCGGCCTCAAGATACTATTTAAAATAGACATATGAGCCATCATTCTCCATGGTGATATGAATCATTTAGTGTGTTCCTTAAAATTGTGTATGTACTCTATAGGAATACAAATTGATACCATTTCTGTAAAGTTTAAATGAGTAATAAGCATTGTTAAAGAGAATTATTTGAAATAGTTACATTTTAAGATCTCAAACTATTTTTCTTTTAAATAACTTGGGTTTTTCTGTTGTTTTTTGTCAACCCCTTGGTTAATGTGCAGGAAATAGCTTGTCTTAGGAGTAATATTAGTTATTGCTGTCTTCTTTTTAACAGGTAATTTGAAGATATTAAAACTAGAAATTGGAACTGGAAAATCTCAAGAATTCAAGGTGCTTTAACATGAGAATTACACGGAACTCATTTGACCATACTTAGAGGTTGATTACAGTTATTGAATCCCAGGATTATAGTTTCTTTTATTTTCAAGAACCTTGTTGGTGTTATAAATGTAAATCTTGACTGTTTATTTTTTATAAAATATTCTCTAAATACAACTATTTTTTGTAAGCCATTTATTTAAAATAAATTTGAAAATCTTTCCTCTTTCAAGTAAACATCAATACTGTGATCGATCTTGATCCTCCTTACTTTTGGAGTCCATATTTGAGAATGCGCCTAGTCACTAAAGTTTATAACCCCCAAATCAGCATGTATAATACTTGTACAGTCATTTTCACATACGCACAGAGCGGTGAATTAGTTGCCTGACACACGTGTGTTCCTAACCGAGGTTGAACAAGGGGACACTTTGCCTTGTTTCAACTACCATACTGCAAATAAGTATCCTTTTCATGGTTTTTAATACCACATTTTTTCTCATTTTTGCACTTTTTGTTGGTGATTTCACTCTTTAAAGTGGCCTCCAACCATAGAAGTGCTGTTACAGTGCTAAGTGCAACAAGGCTGTGATGTGCCTTCTGGACAAAATACACGTGTTAGATTAGTTTCGTTCAGGCACAAGTTACAGCGCTATTGACTATGCATTCATTGCTATGTCAAGAGAATCAGTGGGTCCTGGAACCTACCTACGGTTGGGTTGTTGAAACTGCCATTCCAAAAAGTATTTGAACTGTTCTTTTCCCAATGCTCATATGCAATTGGGATGCCCACTTTTAGGCACTGAGAGAAATCAATGTTGTTGCTATCATTTTTGTTGAAGCCACTCCTCTGATACATAGTCTTAGGTCATTATTTCCTCTAAGCAAAAGTACTTTAAAAATCCCTTACTTTCATAAAAATAGCTAAAATATCCAATTCGTTATAAATCTAAGAGTACTGCTCTTTCTCCAATGTTACAAGATTGGAATTTGTACTCACCTCAAAACCACTAGGCTTGGTTTCCTTTAACTTTGGCTAAGTGTTGGATTCGAGGGTAATTACTGTAGAATAGGTTATTTCCCTATAAATATGCTTTGGAGTGCCCTTGATAAAAGGAATTTTTCATGATTTCTTCAAGTAAAAAATAAATCAGATAATAGAGTTGATAAAAAAAAAAACTTTAATGGAAGGCACTGTTTTCCAAAGTCACATGGGGGGTAACAGCCCACACAATGCCACCCTGCTCTCCACTTCCCAAACATGCATCTATACCCCACCCCCACCCAGAGAGGAGGGTGCAGATCTCATTCAGCAGGCTATTTACATGGCAGTTCCCAGTGGTGTTACTACCTCCCAAAGCACTGACTGATAGTTTTCCTTAAAACAAAGAAATGGCTATCTTAGACTAATAACAGAAGAACGTCTTTGAGGAAAAAAAAACAGAACTATACCAGCTATTACAGCCTAGAAAAAGGTTTCTAAGAGTTCCCATGTTTATACGAAGCCCAAGAAATGCATTTATTCTGTTGTTTAAGTCCCCATGACAACAAGGATAAAGTTACAAGTCAGTCCTTGATTTAGACTGTGCTTAATGAGAAGTTAAGAGCTACATACATAAGTAGGTTCAAGAACCAAACTTCTGTTTGCCACCTGATGAATCAGAAACATTAAAATGCTTTGACTTCAAGGACAGTATCACAAATTCTTAAGAATGTCTTCATTTACTCTCATTAAATACTTTTAACTTTGGAATCTTAGAAAAACTGGATTCCTACTTTCTCAGAAGACTGTAGTTTGTCTTTCAAGCGAAAATAGGCATTTTGCTCTTTAGTGCTAAAAAAAAGAAAAACTTTTTTGCAGTATCTTTTTTTGGGATAACCGTTCCTCCTAATGGATAGTCATTGGCAAGACACCTAAAAGACAAGTTTTCTCAAGTTCTTACCAAAAATTCATCTTAATGAAAAAGTCATCCAGGAAAGCAAAACTGCTTTATGTAGATAAAGTATTGTTTATATGCATTAGACCAAGCAATCCACTTTAGTTTGAACAGTTTTAAAATCTAAATCACAGCTGAACGATGAATTAATGGGTGGTTCCAATGAGGTATTACTTTGACATTTTGGTCTCAGAAGGTGTTTCCCCAGTATCCAATGTCTTCAACAACCGGAAAAGACCAGCAGCTTCTCGTATCCTACTGAACTCGATACAGAATGCCTGTACTTCTATAAACAAGTCCTGTACATTAATAATTTTGTTACGGATCAAGGACTGGAGAAAGACACACACAAGACGCACCAAGCGATTCTGAAAAAGAAAATGCAAATTTTAGTGTGCCCATTTTCCTGGCAAGAATTTATAAAACTTATAAAAATTTCTATTACCTGCATATACTTATCCTTAATTTGTTCACAAGTAGAGATGCAATTTGATATATAAAGGTGAATAAACTCAGGAGGTAGATCAACAGCCGTAGTTAGTCTGTTTCATAAAAGAAAATTTGGGCTGTTAATTTTATTTGGTAACACTGAAAATTACTGTTAACCATAAAATATAAAATTTCCTTTGGTGATCTGGTGGAAATTTATGATATGCGATCAATTCCTTAGTTTTAAATATACTTAGGCAAGTACACCTAAGAGCCACATCCACTTACTCATAAATAACACTTTTTTTATGTCTATACTTAGCATTACATGTAGCAATCATTCATTAATCAATTATTTTTTTGAGTACTCTCCTGTAGTATTCTTGGTTAAATCGTAAGTCATAGTCTATTATCTTCCAAGCTCCCATATATCCTCATCAATAAGCATTCAAGTAACGTTTACTAAAGTCCTATTACAGATAAACACTATGAAAGGGCAACGTGTCTGAGAGGAAGGTGTAAATTTAGTACATGAATGGTACGCCATGTAGTCAAATGCTAAAATGAGGGGTTTGTAAATAGGATAATCGTAATGTAGGAGACTTGGGAAAGACTTAGAAGGGCAAGTGACTTAAACTGAAACCTGAGAAGTAATCCTGGTAATTGCATAGCAATCCAATCAGCATATAGGCCTGGAATCGGGCATTAGTATGGCATATTCAGAAGCACAACAGAAAGACCTGGCTGGGATGTAACAAAGGCATGGCATAGACTAGAATCAGAGTCCTGAAGGCCAAGGTCAGTATTTTCCAAAGGATTACATGGAATGTTTTAAGGAAAGAAGAAAAAGTGGGGTGGGGGTGGGAATTCCATGTTGAATTAAGTCTGGGAAACACTAGGTCACATTAAACAGGGCTTGTTGCAAAGCCTTTGCTATGCTAACTATAAAGTATGAATTTCCAAAAGAAGATTCATACATGCTGCCTTTTCTAAACTTATCTGACCTCAAAACCTTTTTCTATAAGATACTGAGGAACTACTGCTCTAGGGAAACAGTGCCGTGGGCCACTGCGGTCACTTGAGATTTGTGTGTCAGCAACTGACTTGTTTCACACTTAAGGCGAATGCACTATGATAGGTGCTGGGGAAAAATAAAAAACAGGACCTTGTCCTAGACATTCCAAAATACTAGGGAGATTAGAATCCCGATGATGAAAAGATGCAGTTATTCTTGGATGAAGGCCCAGGTGTCCAGTATAGACAGTAACTGCTACAAGAGTACAGTGAAGGGGAGAAGTGAACACTCGGAGCTTGCTCAATCCAAACGACTTGAACAGAAGTCCTTTTTTCGGCCACTGAAAGAAGCGTAAATCTTGACTTAATAGGAAGGAGAAAGACTTGAACAAGAAGAGATGAGAAGAGGCAGAAATGAAGCAGCACAGCATGTTTTCAAAAAGCATCTAACCAGTTTTGCCAGTGACCAAAGACAAAGTTAAAAATTAATTTGGAAGTCTCAGGCTTCCTCCCTCTCCTACCCTCGAAAGGACACACTACCCTCTCGCATACATACTTGCGCTCCCTGGGCTTCCAGCCAAGCTTCATTTTACCACTTGATAAACTTAGGAGGACATAATTTTTTAGTTCAATTTCAAGTGGGTTTTTAATCTCCAACTTACAAACAGGTATTCAAAAAAACGTGCTCTAACTGCAGTTTAGGTGTCTGGCACTCAAGAGTGGATTTCCCCATATAGCAGAAGGACCACGTAATTTACCATCCAAAACAGACACCACACAAAAGGGAACTCAGGATACAAAGCCTCAATCAGGGACTATCTGAGGCAAACCACTGGCAAGGTAAGGAGACTGGAGTAAAGAAAGAGAAAAGGGGACAAGGAATCTCTATGACAGCTTTCTAGAATTCCTAGAATTCTCTCAGCTCTTAAGGCCCATACTGTTCCATACTATAGCTGTTAGTCACCAAGAAAAAATAATTAATATAATACCTGTATTTGTATAGAGGCAAAGAAGATACAACTATGTATAGGGAAATAAATTTCAGCAATTAAGTTTCATTTACATGTTCTATAAACGCTAACTATGTTTGAAATCCTACCCTCAGAGTTCTTACTAATGGATGCTAAGTTCGCAAGTAGTGAACGCCAAGGCTCAGGTTATTTCTTTAATGGGTTATCTTAGGCAATAATACCAGGAAAAAAAGCTATTACAGGTTTTTCCTCCTGTCCATTTAATCAGGATCTATATATTAAATATAACCACACATTTCATCAAATATGAAAACTTACCGATTTACAACTTCCATTGAATGTAAGGACATGTCCATATTTACCAGGACAGAGAAATATTCAGTGATCTGGCTTGATTGCATTAATTTCAGCAGCATTTCTATGGCGACTAAAGGGTTGTTTTCCACAAGGTCGGGAAGTTTGGCTGGGGTGAGGCCAATATGATAAACAAGTTTGGGGTCTTTTTCCAACTCCCCAAGGAGCTAAATACAACCAGATTTTTAAAGAGAGAGAAAGGTTCTTGAGTCAAATTAGAATTTTTTTTCATGCATACAAAAACAAGTATTTTATACAAAAAGCTACAAAGTTATTTGCATTTAAACAACTGTATAAATTTCTTCCCCATGATGTCTTTTGTTTTTGGTTTTTTGGGTGAGGGACAAGGTCTTGCTCTGTTGCTCAGGCTGGAGTGCAATGGTGTGATCATAACTCACCGCTGCCTCAAATTCCTGGGCTCAAGCAATCCTCCCACCTCAGCCTCCCAAGTAGCTAGGACTAAAGGAGCACACCACCACACATGGCTATTTTTTTTTTTTTAAGAGCTAGGATCTCACTATGTTGCCCAGGCTGGTCTCGAACTCCTGGCCTCATGTGATCCTCCCGCCTCAGCCTCCCAAGTCACTGGGATTACAGGCACAAGTCACCATGCCCAGGCACATAATTGCACTCGCTAGGCTTCCAGCCATCATCATACCATGATGTTTTGACATTGTTTAATTTACATTTGAACTTTGAAGACGCTAAAATGCAAACACATTCAAGACAAGTTATAAATATGCTTGTGATTCCTCTTCCTGGACATAAAACCAGACTGTATTGTCTAGTTGTAATAATATCAAGTCCTTTGTAGATTTTTTTCTCCTGTCATCTGTTATAACCAAAAATAATCTTAATGACCAACTAATTCTCACAAAAATTAAGGAACATCAGAAACAACAGTCCCACCCCGTCCCACCCAGGTGGAGATACATGAGAAGGGGGCAGAATGGGAAGTGGGACGGCTGACCTGCTGCAAATCATCAGCTTGCAGAATTTTACAGTTCAAGTCACACCTACACTTTGTAATTCAAATAGGCATCCTCACAGTTTTTCTGCCAAATAAGCACTTTTTCTTTTAAATTTTCTACACTCTTTTCCCTATCCACCTGTATCTTCCACAGTGGGCTGTTTCAGGATGGTCTAATAAGCAAAGTGAAGGACAAACATAGACATTAATTATTTGACTTTGAAAATAATATTTCTGGTGCCAAGATGATTTGGAGATGTCAGTATCTCCCAACAAGTTCTAACTTAGAAGTATGCAAACTGAATAAAATTCATCAGCCAGAAAGCTCCTACAAAAGCATCCTTGCCTTAGTGTGGGCAACATAGCAAGACTGTGTCTCTACAAAAAAAGCTTAAAAATAAACTGGGTGTAGTGGCATGCACCTGTAGTCCCATCTGTAGCTACTGCGGAGGCCAAGGTGGGAGGTGGTCAGGGATGTCCTTGCCTTTCCCCTGAGGGGAGCTGTCCAGTATTGCACTTGGGCAGTGGGGCATACTTTTAATCTCAAATCCACCATGAACCAGCTGGGGGATGGGGGCTAGTTTACCTTCCCTGGGCCTCATTTTCCTCCTGTATCAAATATTAACACTTCCTCTTACCCTCAGAAGTGCTACTGTCCAGCTTAAATGTAACAATGTAAGTGCCCAGCTGGCACACAGGGTGCCAAAAACTGAGAGCCATCCCACCTCTCCCAGGACAAACTGATCACAAACGAGTTGATGGGAGGTTGAGGTGGGCGGATTGTTTGAGCTCAGGAGTTTTGAGACCAGCCTGAGCGAGACCCCATCTCTACTAAAAATAGAAAGAAATTAGCTGGACAACTAAAATATATAGAAAAAATTAGGCCAGGCATGGTGGCACATGCCTGTAGTCCCAGCTACTCGGGACGCTGAGGAAGGAGGATTGCTTGAGCTCAAGAGTTCAAGACCGGCCTAAGCAAGAGCAAGACCCTGTCTCTACTAAAAATAGAAAAAAATTAGCCGGGCATGGTGGCACGCGCCTGTAGTCCCAGCTACTCGGGAGGCTGAGGCAGTAGGATCGCTTGAGCCCAGGAGTTTGAGGTTGCTGTGAGCTAGGCTGACGCTACGGCACTCTAGCCCAGGCAACAGAGTGAGACTCTGTCTCAAAAAACAAAAAAACCCCAAGAGTTGAAACATTTTTAGTCATCAGATTCTTGCGCCACCAGAGCAAATTTACCAAAAGGGGAAAGGGCAGAACAAAGCCTCAAAGATCCATAAACCTGTGCCACTTCCTACTTTTGGCTCATGTTGACAGTATTAGTTTATTTGCTCCCTTAACATTTCACAAAAAACAAAAATAAGCTCTTGCTGGATTAAAGATAAGAAAATGTTTACAATAAATACACACCTGTGTCTGCTGGGGAGAAGACAAGGGGCTTTTGAAGGCTTTGGCCATTATTCGCTTGATCTCCACGCCAGTGCTGTTCTTCACACACATGGACTTGTCCCACTGAACGCCGTGGTCAGGCTCTGTGGGATTCAGCCACGCCAGCTCATCCTCACAAACATGGAGCGGAGGTGGGGGGCGGATAAACTCTGGTCGAAAATGGCCTGTAATGAGAGCAGTAATATTTGACTGCATTTATCAGTAAGCTAACACCTTTACACATCTCACCCACATTTCATTTGATGGAGTATCCGAGGCCTCTCTTAACAAGGATAATGTGATAAAACTCTCATGCTTCAAAAGCAGAACCAGGAATGATACAGCAAGTCAGGGTTTCATTCAGAATACAAACAAGGAAATGAAAGGACACTAACAGCATGGTGCCAGAGACCAAATCCAGTAATTTCTGGAGAGAGGAGAGGAAAGCATGCCATGATCTGACAACTCTGAATTCGAGCTTGACCCCTCAATAGCAAAAGGATACAACCACTAGAGTGGTAAGTCTTTTGATGGGAAAATGAAATACTACTTGTCCTCACACATCCTGCTCTTAGTTACCACTATTTTGTGGTAACTGATTTGTACTAGTTTTATCTTCACATCTTGTAACTGAAAAGACAAATTACATGGCAACAAAATGGAAAGAGAAAAAGAGTATGGGCCGGGCGCGGTGGCTCATGCCTGTAATCCTAGCACTCCGGGAGGCCGAGGCAGGTGGATCGTTCTGAGCTCAGGAGTTCAAGACCAGCCTGAGCAAGAGCGAGACCCCGTCTCTACCAAAAATAGAAAGAAATTAATTGGACAGCTAAAAATATATGTAGAAAAAATTAGCCGGGCATGGTGGCACGTGCCTGTGGTCCCAGCTACTCGGGAGGCTGAGACAGGAGGATTGCTTGAGCCCAGGAGTTTGAGGTTGCTGTGAACTATGCTGACGCCACGGCACTCACCCCAGGCAAGAGAGTGAGACTGTCTCAAAAAAAAAAAAAAAAGAGTATGGTTGACTTTTCACATTTTCAAATGAATATGGAGACTTGCATAAACCCCTAAATTTACAAATACCATATTCACTTTCACAAAACAGTAGAAGTACAACAGGAAAATGAAGTACCTCAACTCTTAACTATTTTATAAAACAAGATTCATCCCTAAGTTATAAACCCGCTGAAATAAATGCTGGCTAGGACTTCTGCTGAACCAATTTCACACTTACTTTGGTTTCCACGTAGGGCAGAAGACGGCTTATTCCATCACGGATCCTAGCCACTGCTGAATTTGAGAGTCTGTTCTCTAGTTTACTGAAAACATCTATTTTCTGGCCAAGAATCATCACTTTATCTTAAACATCTCTACTGTCTCTTCACTTACATCACCAAGACTAGCATCTGAATCTTTCTTCAGACCACTTACAAAAAACAAAGTTTTTAAACTTTATGAAAAGTACTACTTATGTGATAAAGAGAAAGTTCCTGTGACATGGGGATGTCTGGTGTTTGGCTAGATTCACTTATTACGACAAGTGCTTTGCTTTTTACATAACTTCTGGGTGGCCTATACCATCCAAAGTTGAGCCTAAGCAGATACTAAACAGAAACCATTATATGCCATAGACCTTTAGTCACACTTGTGACTAGCTAAAACCAAATATTTAACCATTTATGCCAAAGATCTACTGTAAATCAAACGGTATAAAAAGTCACTGTGTAAGTTTCAACCTCATGGTGACACTATAATCTGGAAAACATGTTCTTATATCTAAGCACAAAGCATGCCTTCATCATTCAAACCACACAGAAACCTATAAAATCAAAAGATGCAGCTATATTATTTCAAATTCAATAGGTCTTGTCTTTGAATTAAACTAAATTAGGAGCTGTAAGATAAAACTTTAAAGTGGAGATAATGACAGTGATAAGATTACTAAAGAGGTATAAAGCAAAAAGGTAATAAGCTACATTTCAGTAAAATCAGAAATTATATCTTCAGGTATACTTATGATAGATACATAGTAAACAACTTGGTGTGTAATTTTCTTAAATGTTCTGGACACTTATACTAGTAAGTTTCACATTAAATTCAAGTTCCAGTAGCAAGGAAAATAACAAGATGTCTCAAAAAAACTGGTAAGTCCAGAGGATGCTGACAGAATAAAACCAAGAGTATAAAACTAATTTCTATATACCTACTTTCAATAGGTGGTTTTGGTCCACTGACTAAAGCTTCTGTGATCTGAGAGGCAACTGAGCTGTCAAAACCAGAATTAGAAGAATCTGGGTCTGGGTCACTGAGAATACTAGGGAAGCTAGCTTTACTTTGAGTTGGCAATTCAGACTGGCGTTCTGAAAAAGATCAAAATAGGAGACATTTTAAAATTAAGGACACCATGAGGAAAGTGGAAAGACAAGCTACTAATTAGGGAAGGCTATATGCAACACATAAAAACAAAGAGCCAGCTTCAGAGTGTGTGTATACAGTAAGTCCTCACTTAACATCAATAAGTTCTTGGAAACTGCAACTTTAAGTGGCACAAATGTATAATAAAACCAATTTTTTTCTTATCAATGTTATAATAAAACAATGTTGAATGAAAGGACTTATTCAAGGACCTGCTATACATCATTTTGCTTAAAGTCATGGTTTCCAAGAACCTATCAGCAATGTTAAGTGAGGACTTACTGTATATTTTTAAATTCCAACAAATCAATTAAATAAAAAATACAAAGAACACAACAGGAAAAAAATGGACTAATGACTTTAACAGGAATTTTACCAAAAAAAGGCTTGAATGGCCAATAATCACCTGAAAAAAAAATGTTTAAGCCCATTAGGAACCAGGGAAAATTTAGTTAAAACCCAAGATACTATAACACTCCCAGCAGAATGGCAAAAATCAAAACACCTGACATTATCGAATGCAGAAGAAGATGTAAGGTAACTCACACACTGCTACTGGGAATGAAAATGGCACAACTTTGGAAAACAATTTGACATTACCTTGTAAAGTTTTACATGTGTATATATTTCCATCCAGAAGAAACTTTCCCATGTGCCCCAAAAGAATGTACAAGAATGCTCATAGCAATAGTATGTCCAACAATACTAGAATGGGGCTGGGCACAGTGGCTCACACCTGTAATCCTAGCACTTTGGGAGGCCAAGGCGGGAGGATTGCTTGAGCTCAGGAGTTCAAGACAGCCTGAGCAAGAGTGAAACCCTGTCTCTACTAAAAATAGAAAAACTTAGCCAGGCATGGTGGTGTGTGCCTGTAGTCCCAGCTACTCGGGAGGCTGAGGCAGGAGGATCCCTTGAGCCCAGGAGTTTGAGGTTGCTGTGAGCTAGGCTGACACCACGGCACCTTAGCCCAGGCAACAGAGCGAGATTGTGTCTCAAAAAAAAAAAAAAAACAGTAGAATGGATAAAGAATTTGGTATTCCACTATATGAATATACCACAACAGCAATGAAAGGCACTCACTGCGGTGACATGCCATCAACATGGATTCATCTCTCAAATAATGTCCAACGGAAGGAAAGTACAAAAGAATAAATGTAGCATGACTCTCTCTATATATAGAAAGTCCAAGGACATGCAAAATAAAACTACAGGCATGCACAGGAGGGAAGACTATAAAGCACACTGAGAATGTTTATCACAAAAGTCAGGTTAGTGACAGGGTGGCAGCAATTGGGAGAAACACACAGGGAGCCCCTGGGCCCTGAATATACTCTATTTCTTAACCCGGATGGCAACTGCACCAGGTTCACTTAATTATAATTCCTTAAAATGTAAATGTATCATCGTTTATGTTCCCTATTTCAGATTTTGTCATTTTAAAGCACAGAGGGCTAAATTCCTGATTAAAGAGTTACAAAAATTAATAAAAGATCATCAACCCAATGGAAAAATGGCCAGAGACATCAGACACAGACAAGATGTTCAACCTCATTTAATAAGAAAAATGCTTACTAAAATTATCCTGTGATACCATCTTTTCATCTCAGATTGCTAAAGTACAAAAAGTTAACATACTATGGACCAAGATGTAGGAAAAAATTTTAAGTTGGAAAATTATGTGGTAAACTAGTTAGTAGTTGGTGTTTGTCAGGAATAAATAATAAATAAAAACAAAGCCTCTGAAATGAACACCGTCATCGTTAACAGGGTAAAACTCCACCCCTTGTAGTCACTTAGATTTAACATGTCTGTTTGTTTTTTCAAAGTTATGAAAACACAAACTACATCATCCATAAACACACCTTGTTCCAGGGACCCCACTGTCAGACACTTGAATTTCAGGCCCCCACAAAAAAGACCTGTGTGGCCAGCCCCAGAGCAGAAAGGAATACGTGCTTTTTTTTTTTACACTTGTGAAAATGGATGGATTAGGACATCTCCAATCTGGGTAGAGGACAACAAGCTATTCTGCCAAACTTCTCAGTTCTTACTCTAGGCATGGATTCCTTTCTGCACTTTATATATTCCTTTCTATATTCCTTTCTGCACTTCACAACTTTCTTGCAGGCTGATTCTGTCATCAAAAGTAGAAAGGGAAGTTACATTGGATTCTCACTTTATCAAATACCAGTCTTAACTCATCAGAATATACATCACATCTGTATCCAGTTTTCAAATTATCTTTGGTTAAGCAAATAATTTTATTTCTATTATTAGGTTATTATATCTGGCACTAGTGGCTAATAGGTACTTTTATGTACCTTCAACCTAATGAATCACTCTCGAGTGACAAGGCCCATGCAGGCAAGCAAAAAGTGCCTCCTCCTACCCTTCAGATCTCAGAGAACCTCTGACCATCAGTTCAAGAAGGTCCTCCTAGTATTTTCTGTCACAATAGGCTGTCTGCTTCAAAAGTACTCATTCATTTGCTTTTATGTGTAACACAGAATGTGCCAAAACAATCTTGAGAAAGAAAAACAAAGTTGGAAGTCTCATTTACTGATTTCGAAACTCAGTACAAAGCTACAGTAATCAAAACAGTGTGGTACTGGCATAAACACAGACATGTAAATCAATGGAAAGCCCCGAGAGAAACCCTCACATGTATGGGCAACTGACTTTCAACAAGGATGCTAAGAGAAGACTGTTTCGGCTATGCAGGGTCCTTTGAGATTCTCACGGATTTTTTTATTTCTGCAAAAAACACTGTTGGTATTTTGACAGGAATGGCATTGAATCTGTAGATTGTTTTGGATAGTACTGACACTTTAATAAACATTAAGTCACCCAAACAGAACTTTAAAAAAAAAAACTAAATTTTATCCAGCATTCTTCTAAAAGTGGAAAAGCAATCCAAGTGAAAACTCAAAATGAATTTATATACCATATTAGCATCCAAAAATGAAGATTTCCATTAAGGATCCAATACTGAAACTTTTTTTTTTTTTTTTACAAGCTAGTCATGTGAAGCAGTGGGAGTGGAGAAGAAACAAAAGAATGTGTAACTAGCTGTGATCAATTAATTATTGAAACTGCTTTTTTTTTTATGGAGGGTACTAACCTCTTATCACAGTCACAAAGACCCACATTTTAAGTAGAGAACCTCAACAAAAGAGGCCTATTATGATCACACAAGAATCCCCAAACCATTGAGTACTCCTTACCAGCCAAAGCTAATTGAAGCCCGCTGATGTCCACAGACTGGCCCATGCTTCCAACTTCCATCAACGCAATCTGGCGAGGCGTCTTCTTGAAGAGTTCCCTTGGGGGTGCCAGCATCAGCTGGGAAAGAAAAAACTTTTCTGGTGGAGTTATAGGAGGTAAAAATCCTGTAAACAAAAATGTATAACAATTTCTCCAATGGTTACTTTTAAAACTTAACTTGAAGCTGGTAAAAATCATCATTTCCTACTTGCCACTTCAACCCACATATATATTGAAGGACTAAATTATAATTAAGTTTCGATTAACCAAATATACACATTTATGAACTATGTTGCTCAGGATGGTCTCAAACTCCCAGCCTCAAGCAATTCTCCCACGTCAGCCTCCCCAAAGTGCTAGGATTACAGTCCTGAGCCACCACGCCCAGCAAGAACTTCATTTTCTAAAGTGCCTCAACTACTGCAAAGTCCAAGGCCAGCAAAAACAAATAGTAAAAACTACAGCACTCAGAAATGCTTTTCTTTCTCCTCTGGAATCACTGTGTAGAAGTTGAATAAATGGAAGAAAGCGGTCAGCAGCAGTGCAAATACACTTCATGTACCTAATTCAATACACAATGCAGCTACAAAATTCCCAAATGCTGAATGCTCTTCCCTTATGTCCCACATGCAAATGCTCAGCAAGCCTCATCTCCAACCACAGCAGTCATCAGGCTGCATTCCCTCAGCTCCATCCCCACTCTTCTCCTCTCTCTTGCCTGGACTACAGGACACACTTTCTGATGTCCCCAGCTCCCAGCTTGGACCCCTGCCTACCCACCTCCCACATTCCACACTCTCTCTTACCATTTAGTTATATTTCTAGAGTACAAGTTGATCACATCACTTAACTCGTTTACAAAAGAATTAAACCCAAACTTCTACATCACTACAAGACCCTTCATAATCTGGTCCCAATTCATCTCCCCAACCTCATCTCAAACTCCCTTCCCATCCAGTTGCACAAAATCCCTCAACTTTTATACCCAGTTCTTCAAAAATACCTGGCAGAGTCACACCCTTGCCTCCCACCCCTATCCCTAACCAATATCCAGCAAAAATACCACGCCCTCTACAAATCTCTCCAGCTCCACAGGCCGTTCCTTCCTCTGTGCTACCCAGCATTTTGTATGCAACATCTAGCACAGTCCTTGCCAAGCTGTGTTATGTATGACTATGTTTATTTCTCCCCAACCAGACTGCAAGCTTTTTGAGTGCAGGGAAGCCATCTTTCTTACTTCCAGATACATTGTCAACCCCGACTCTGCTCAGAATCATCTGAAAAGCTTTTTAAAAATATATCCATTAAAGGTTCACCCTAAACGTACAATATCAGGGCTTGGCACTGCTGTTTTCTGTGTATTTACCAACCATCCCTACCTACATTAATAATGGTAATGACACTAGGTAACACTTATAGGTACTTTTATTCTTTGTAATGATTGTATTAGCTCAGAATTATTATTATCTGCATTTTACAGATAAAAAAACTGAGGCACAGAAAGGTTAAACAACCCACCAACCCACCATGGATTCCTTCCCCGGCATCTGCCTAGGGCCCCTCCCCCAGCAACTTTGTGTTTACCATGCAGTCTGCGGACTAGCTGCAGGTTTAGACTCGCTGTTTTTGAGAATGACATTATATAAGTCCGGGTTCCTTTGCCTAACCTGCCCTTCAGAATTCACAGGGGTCCTATGACCCAAATCCCACACTGTCTCAATCATCTAATTTGAGCACCCTAGGGTGTTGGGTTTTGACCATACATTTATGTGTTACATTCACTTTCTGGGCTGTCACAAACTTCTTGAAAGCAAGGTTAAGTACCTGTACCCTAAGGTCATCTCAGTCCAACACAAAAGTTGCCCTTCTTACACAAGGGCATCAACTGCAGGAAACCAATTTGAGCAAGCTTGAGATCCAGATGGGTTGACAGGCAGGAACACTAACTAGCTTAAAATGTAGAAGCCCTCCTGTGCCATGAAAAGACCCCTCAAAATCTACTGCCTTAACCTTGACTCACTGCATAGCAGGCCCTACCTACAGAGCAATCTGCCCTTTCTCCCACTGGCTAAGGACTGTAAGATCAAGTTGTTTCCTATGTCTAACTACCTGCTTTTCCCACTACATTAGTTCCTAAGTCCTCGAAGTCCACTTATCATCACCCCCTCTGTGTCTTACTTAGCATAATGTCCAGTAGTCATGCGTCTTCTAACCCAGAGAGTTTGAGACTACCTTCTATCCTCTACCCCCATCACATTACCCAGGGACACCCGAGACCAAGGAGGATGGCTGCAAAATCCTTAAATAGTGTTTAATGTGTATTTCCTCCCAGACAACTTATTTGGGATCTTAATACTGACTTCTATGTACTCCTCTGAGACGTAAAACCGAAGGCAGATCCAGTGTATTAGTTGTAACTTCCCCAGATGGGCTTTAGAAAAATGAACCGTATTTGACACACTAAAAGTGTCAAGCGCTTCACTGAACTGTATTATTTGGCGACCTGTACAGAGAAATAATTTTCGGTGCCATGAACTTGTAATTAAATTACCATCTCTCCATACTTTAGAGTAGCGGGGAGAGTGGGGTGGAGGAAAAAGGGGATGATTATTTCAGAAGGAGTTAATTTCCCTTGTGAGTTCCCAAAAGCGCAAGTGGAAAACCGCCGAATCTAACCAAATCCACACCGCGCACCCAGCTTCGGAAGGTACCTGAGAGCGGTGGCCGGTCAGGTTCCTGGCCGCCGCGGGCGGGAGGCGCAGGGTTGAGCAGGTGCGCGAAGCTGGCGGCGAAGGGGTTGGCGGCGAGCGGCTCGGTGCGGTACATCTCCCAGAGCAGGTAGAGCGCGGTGAGGCGCTGCGCCGCGCTGGGCAGCAGGTCTGGCTGCTGCAGCAGCATGACCAGCACCGAGCCCAGGCGGAAGTGGTCGGCCTTGCTGAAGTAGTGGTGGAAGGCGGTGGACAGGCCCTCGAAGGTGCTGCCGCCACCCGCCTCCTCCGAGATGATGCTCAGCAGGCTCGAGAGCTCCTTCGGGGTCAGGCTCATCCTGCCCGCGGGGCACCCCGGGCCTCCGCTCCCCGGCCCGGGACCGCCTGCTCCGCCTCTGCCGCCGCCGGAGCCCCCCGGGCCGCTCCTAGACGCCGACCCTGCCGCTTCCCGGGCCCCCCTTTGCTCTGCGGCGGTGAAAAGCCGGCCAGACGCCGCGCTCACCCCGCCGCCGGGCATCAACCTCGCTCGCCTGCACTGCTTCCCGGCCGGAGTGGCCCTAGCGCCGGCCCGCTTCGTCCCCGCGGCCGTAAAGCGCGCTGTTACACGACAGCGTCGCAAACAAAACACGTCGGGGAAGCCAGACCGTTGCGGAGGAGAGGGACAGCGCCAAGCGAAAGCGAGGCTGCTGGAGCGAAGCCAGGGAGAAAATCCTCAGAGGCGACGTGGGCGGGGTGAAGCGGCCGGAAGTGGGGGCGGGGTCGGGCCGGCAGGCTTTGGGACTTGCACTGCCTAGGTCCTCGGCCCGCCAGCCAGGCGCCACGGCCAGCGAAAGCGGACCCCTTAGCAGTCTCCAGGGCAGTGTCTGGCACCAGACGGTCCCAGTAAATGTTGGCTACATTGTTGTTTGGAAAAATGGATCTTAGATGCTAAATAGTTTCCCTAATGTAACATCCATGACTGTTCATGGTGAAAATACTGTAAATGCAAATAAGTGAAGATGCCACGCGTTTCTCATAATCAATGTTAATTTCTGATTTTACACTCCTTATAGCAAAAGTGGAATCGTATTGTTTATGAGCTTTTGTGCATGGTTATTTTCTTTTAAGATTTCTAGAAAAGGTTACCAATAAATACTCGTTTACAAAGTTGTTTGCGGTGCCACTTTTAGCCTGCAGCTAGGGGGCTTATTCTGGGCCCAGGTAGAGCGTTAGAAACTCATGGGGAACCTTTACAAATAACTAGCACCTGGCCCCACCCCCGAGGTTCTGATTCAGGTAATAAAAAAGGAAACACCTCCCCAGGTGACTCTGACATGCAGTCCGGGCTGAGAACTACCGAGTGGCATTACCCACACTTGCCCGACCCCTCCCTAGACCCACAGAAACCTACAGGAATTTCACCAGCGACTCCCACCGCGCAAGTTTGGGAAATCCGGTCTGCGCTTAACATTGACAGCCGCTAAGTGCAAAGTCAATTATAAAAGTACACATACGGTATAATTCCAGTTACACAAAATGTCCAGAATAGGCAAATCTATAGAGTTGTTACCTATGGCCGAGGGTGGGGTTAGGGGAGGAGGATTTGAGACAGAATGAGGAAGGACTCATGTTTACAGGGTTTCTTTCGGGGGTAATAAAAATGTTCTAAAATTGAAAAAACAAAGAATTATCTAGTTAAGCGTTACCTTAATTCTTAAGAATTTAAGGAAGAGAAATTGCTGGGTCAACCGGCATGACGTCTGCTGTATTTTAAAGGCTTCTTCAATTTACTGCTAGATTGCCCTCTGGAAAGATCCTGCCAGTTAACATTCCTAACGACAGTAAATATAATTTGGTAACTTGGGAAACTAATTCAAATTAGCTTGAAAGTGCTTTCATTAATTTTTTTTATTATAAAACACTTTATTTTGTTTGAGCCATTTTACATTGTGGAGTCTTACAGCAGTTACCCTACAATACTAATACTGTTCAATAATACTGTACTAATTATTATTAAAACTATTAATGTAATAATACTGATATTGTTTAGTTTTTTCAACATGTTTCAAAATATTTTAACATTACATGTTAGCCAAAAAAAAAAAAAAACTAAATACTTTTCGTTCTGTAGAAACATTTTCAAAATTAACATGATATCCAGAGTTTCCTCCATGTTCCCCAAAACCAACTCTCAGGCCTTTTGTTCCTTTCCTAGGGCTGCTTTGACAAATAACCACAAACTGAGTGGTTTAACACAACACAAACTGATTATCTGGCAAATTCTGGAGGCTAAATGTATGAAATCAAAGTGTCAACACAGCCTTCTTCCTCTGAATGCTCTAGGAAAGAATCTTTCCTTGTCTCTTCCCAGCTGCTGGTATTTGCCCACAATCCTTGGCATCCCCTGGCTTGTGGCTGTACCGTCCCAATCTCTGCTTCGTTGTAACATGGCCTTCTTATAAGGACACCAGTCATTGTACTTAGGGCCCACCCTAATCCAGCACGGTATAATCAGAACTAATTAGATATGCAAAGACCCTATTTCCAAATAAGGTCACACTTTGAGGTTCCAGCTGGACTCGAATTTTGGGGTATGCTATTCCCCCAGCAGAGGCCCTAAGCTGTCCTTGTGGTGTGTCTCGGTAATTCTTCACACTTCATCTGTGCCCTTAGGCTCCCCACCAGCATTTGATCATTTAACAAATTCTGGTTTGCTGAGAGGCAGTGAACCCAAGAGATCAAGCCCTGCCCTCAATGCTTAGAGGAGCTTGGTGGCCGCTTAGTGCCACCGTCACTATCATGCAATCTAAATCTCTGCTGGAGAATCAGCTCATCCTGATCATTAAATCAAAACATCCTACCTAGGTTAAAATTCCGATTCTGCCATCTATTAGCTATGTGCCTTCAGGAAGGTTGTATAATCTCTCTGAGCCTTAGCTTCCTTATTTGTAAAATGAGAATTAAAATCTACCTCATGGAGGTCGGGCACAGTGGCTCAGGCCTGTAACCCAGCATTTCAGGAGGCTGAGGTGGGAGGATCACTTGAGGCCAGGAGGATCAGCCTGAGCAACATAGTGAGACCTCCATCTCTACCAAAAAAATAATTAGTTGGACGTGGTGGCATGTCCCAGTTACTCCAGAGGTTAAGGCAGGAGGATCACTTGATCCTAGGAGTTTAAGGTTGCAGTGAGTTATAATGACATTAGCCCCAGGAGGCCGGGTAGGGGGGACAGGGTGAGGACCTAGTCTCAAAAAAAAAAAAAAAAATCTACCTTAGGGATTTGGGTAAAGAAAAGAACTTTTATCCAAGGAATGCTAGTCACTTTAAATTATTGGGCCCAAAGAGACGTTAAAATGAAACAGCAATCATAGTCTACTTTCCCGCTTGAGTTATGTATTCATTTCTTGAAACTGCTTGCTATTGCCAGGAGGAGCTATAAATTAACCTAAAAATGCTCCACTGGACACTCTAACCCAAATCCCATAGCTTAACAATGTACAGCCAAGCATTACTCAATGTTATTTATGTAAACCTATGCGAATTCCTGACAAACAACTGTATCAGCCCGCTCCCTGTCTCCCCTTTTGCCTTTATTTTTTGTTGTGGTTTGTTTTTCCTTTTTTTTTTATTTTTTTATTTTTAAAAACCTGTTAGTGGCCAGGCACAGTGGCTCACACCTGTGATCCTAGCACTCAAGGATCACTTGAGGCCAGGACTTCAGAGCATCCTGAGGAAGAGCGAAACCCCATCTTTACAAAAATAGAAACGTCAGCCAGGTATGGTGGTACGTGCCTGTGGTCGCAGCTACTTGGGAGGCTGAAGAAGGAGGATTGCTTGAGCCCAAGAGTTTGAGGTTGCAGTGAGCTATAATCACACCACTGCACTCCAGCCCTAGCCCAAGCAACAACAACAACAAAAAAAAAACCTGTTTGTAACAAAGGCCAAAGGGAGGTCACATCCAAGCTTACTTCAGTCTGAGGTTTCCAGGCTGCTGGACGCTTGGTCTGAATAAACTCTTTACATTATATTTTGTGCCTCGACCTCCTTTTTTCAGGTAGACAGAATCATTGTAAAGACTAACCGAGATACACAGTGGAGCTTGTGCACGTAGCAGGCACTCAGGGAATGTTATGTCCTTTTCTCTCTTACTCATTAGAACAAGTTTAACTCGCATTCTAAACAGTTAAATATGTACCAACCCTTTCTACTGTGAACTAAATAAAATCTTAAGTCCCCCAGCTGACTGAATGGATGCTCTCTTGGCCAAGGGGACTCCAGAAATACCTAAAAGCTGAGTTGCTGGCCATGAGAAGGGAGGTCAGACATGCCTGGTCGTGCCCCCCTCCCTTCTTGGAGATATAGCCTTTGCAACTCATTAACAGGCTGTTAGGTCATCTATTTACTTAATCACTTGAGGCTGGGTGTACCTCAGGTAGCTTGTCTCTGATTAACAGACTTTTTCATCTTAAAATGTTCTAAGCCTTTAGACAAAGCTTCATTTTGTTACCGAAAACTTGGCACTTGTTCACGGGGCCCAAGAAGAACGAGGACAAGTGGTTTGAGGAGGAAGGAAAGAGAGTTTACTTTGTTGACAGAGGAGGAAAAATGGCAGACCTCATCTCAAAATCCCAAATTTCCTGAACATTCACAAAAATACAGCGCTTTTAAAGGATGGGTTCTCAGTTTCAGGCAATTACTGTTCAACTGCACTTGATAATTCAGATCATCCCATCTCCGCTGAAGACAATCTCATGACCTCCACAACCCAGGATCTCCCTTTACCAGGTTGGGCTGGGCCATCTCCTATTGCACAAATGAACAAGACATTATCCTGCCCCTCCCAACCACTGGCCTGAAGCAGGGATGCAGGCTTTAGAGACAGAAAATATTTTTCCATTTTTCCAGGCCATTCCCTCTGTTACAATCTTTTTAACCAATTACAAATCAAAAAATCTTTAAACCTACCTATAACCTGTAATTCCCTGCTTCGAGATGTCCTGCCTTTTCAGACCAAACCAATGCACATCTTCCATGTGTTGCTTTATGACTTTATGTGTATTTCCTGTCTCCCTGAAATGTGCAAAACCAAACTATGTGACCCAATCGCAGCGAGACCACTTCTCAAGGTTTCTTGGGCGTGGCTCTCCCAGCCATGGCTGCACATGTTCAGGTCAGAATAAACCTCTTTATTTTATAGAGTTTGGGTTCTTTTCTGTTGACGGTATTAACTATCTTGCTGTTAAATATTAAAATATTGATGTGAATAACAGCTGGCATTGAGTATTCAAATCTACAGGGAAATTCCTTAATTAATAGTTTTAAAAAAGGCCGGATTCAATGGCTCAGGTCTGGAATCCCTGAACTTTGGGAGGCCAAGGTGGGAGGGCTGCTTGAGGTCAGGAGTTCCCAGAACAGCCTGAGCAAGAGCGAGACCCCGTCGCCACCAAAAACAGAAGAAATTAGCCAGATGTAATGGTGCACACCTGTAGTCCCAGCTACTCGGGAGGCTGAGGCAGGAGGATCACTTGAGCCCAGGACTTTGAGAGTTCAGTGAACTATGATGACAACCCTGCATTCTACCCGGGTGACAGAGCAAGACTCTGTCTCAAAAAAAAAAGAATCTCTGAACCCACCTGTAAGCCACTTCAAGATGTCCTGCCTTTTCAGGCCAAACAAATGTATACCTTTTATGTATTA